ATGGTGTCCAGAAACTGTGCTGTGAGTAGAAAGTTATTCTGAATGCAGGGCTGCATGCGTGTGAAATGCACAGGGGAGCAGAATCCGGAGGTTGGAGGTTCTCAGGGCTGTGGAGAGGGGCCGGGAGGAGGGAAGGCTTGGTGAGGGAGGGTCCCCACAGAGCTGAGCCCGAGGGGCAGAGCCAGAGCCCAGGGAGGGGCTGCAGGGCCTAGTGCTGCTGGCTCAAAGCAAGGACAGGGCGGGGCCCAGCCCTCGGCCACGCCCACCCGCGTGCCCCCAGCCTCACTCTGGTTCTCTTGGAGCCAGCCCCAGCCGGTCACCCAGCAGTCAGGCCGGTGCTGGAACATGGAGGTGGAAGACAGGACGCAGACGGGCTGGATGTGCTGGTTGTAGGGGACGGGGGAGGCCAGCTTCACCAGCGCGATGTCGTGGAGCTTCCTATTTGCGTGGGGGTTCATGATGATCTTCTTCACCTTGTACCGGTTGGAGTAGGCCTTCAGGTTCCAGAGAGATGGCCGGGAAGTTAGCTCCCCAAACTGGACGGTCCACGTATGTGGATCAGGGGACCTGGTGGGAGGAGAGAGCAGTCGAGGCAGGAGGGCGGCCTCCCGCATCCACCCCGCACCTCCCTTAGGGGCCATGGTGGGTGGGGCTGCTTCCACTTGCTCATCCTGGACACCAGTGCCAAGAGTCTGTAGATACCAGACGGGCCACAAGCAAACCCCTGAGCAGGGCCAGGGCTCTGGGGGTCTGCAGGAAGGGGGCTGCCTTGTCACCTTGTAGAGCTGTCCTCTGGGGACTCCTGGGTACCCCTAAGTAGCCTGAGCAATAGTGGCTGGGGTGACTGTGGGGCCCTGGGCAGGATGGAGTAAGACAGCAGCTCTGGAGAACTGTGCGGGGTGCGGGCCGGACCGAGGCCCAGCACCGCCTCATCTCCACCCACATGCAGACTCACCGCGCTCCAGGCTGGCTCCCTTTGGGTAAAAACTGAGGGAAGAGGAATGAGGAGGAGGAACAGAACAGGAGTGGGAACAGGAATAAAGTGTTCTAGTGTAGCCTTCTAGAAGAATGGGAA